CATGAAGTTTAGTCCACAGTTCAGAAGCAGGTTTGTTTCCACCAATAGCCCTTATCACATTATCAGACAAGTACAAAAAATTAGTACTCCAGGTAACCTCTTCAAATTCAATTTTCTTTGCCGCATGCAAGTCTACAAGCCAACTATCGTCTAGAGCCCTAACACATATCATTTGCATTAGAATTGCCTTCATTTCTCCACATATTAAAATCATATCTTCCATCAAACTGTGAAACTTTAAATTTAGCAGAAGCTATTTATTTATTAAAAGGTGATACACAAATAGGAGTTTTAAAAAAGAAAATTATAAGGCACAGACAATGACTCTCAAACAATCTTCAGTTACAAATCACAATAGTACACTTAGTAATACAAAATTTTAAGTTTTAATCACGTTCACGGAACATGCAGAGCAAACACGGATAAAAAACACAATAACAGATATCATAAGTCTATGTTTCAAAGGTTTCTCCAGCTAGATCCTCCAAATACACACCCGTACTTAATTTATCTCAGATTCTCGAGACCTCGTTTAAGCCTTTGGACAAAGATTAACCTCTAAGGGGTTTAAGTGAATATCTCACCTAACGAGTTTATAAAAACTCGATGTCTTTAAGATTTACCTAACAGCAGTTCCAAATTTTTTTAAATTTGCAACAGATCAATCCCTTTCTGTAAAGATTCAGGTATCTTGTTCTCAATCCTTGCTCTGATACAACTGAAAATGCCCAGATAACACAATATTAAAAACAAGACACAAACGATAAGAAAGTAAACTTGCAGAAAATAAAGATTGAACATGAGAGACTCATTTCGGCTTAAGCTCCGAAGGTTTGGCTACCACTTCTAACGCCTATACCCCCCATTGAGCATCCAAAAATTGGATATTCGTTCGGTTGCACTATATAGCCCAAAAAATGGCAACAAAAGTTACAGATCATTTCTTTCAACATAAGAGAGAAGTACAAGATATTTATCTCTTTAACAATAACTGGAGATTTACAAAAAATCACTCAAGAAACTTCAACTCGCCTATTGAAAATCACAACTATAGGAAACCCCTTATTCTTACAGTAATCACTCAGAAAATACACAGATTTCAAAGGCTAAAGTGTAATGGTCTCAATTTTACAAGTTCATCAGGGAGAACTCAATCACCAGTCCATAGTTGATACAAGTTTAATTTGGGACTGTACACAGAAAACAAAAAAAGGTAATTTTTAATTACTTGCATTCAAGTTCAACCCTAACTAGTTCATGTACGTTTACTTGATCAAATTGATGAAGTGGAGACGTACATAGAATTGGGAGGCAATTTTCACTCAATTTTAACTGCTTTGTTGTATATTTTGTCTTTCTATTTTGAGGAATTTGATTTTATATATTGGAAATTAGTTCCATGCACCTTAAAAAAATCTCCGCGTCTGTGCGAAGACACTGTGTCCGTATCTCCGCGTCTTTTTTTTTTTTTTTTGGTATAAGAGACATCATTCAAGTAATGAAAATTCATTATCTTGCAATTTCTCACAGTTCTCACCCACAACCACTCCTTCCCTGCGCAAACCCTAGAAAATTCTTTCGCTGAACATCTCTCCTCACAAGGAGAGCTGAAAAGGGAGAGCTAAAAAATTGGCCAGCTAACTTTTCATTTTTTCGTAGGCACTATCATTCCATCACGTAACATATACTTTTTTTTTCTTTTTCTCTTCAGGCCTTTACATCAAAGCCATAAAAATTCTTGTTGAAGAGAGTAATGTTCAGCGAGTCGATGCCTTCTGGTATTTTGAATTTCATGCTCGCGCTGCGCGAAATTCAACCTTTTTTTTTCCCTGACCAAATTAAAACAGCCTGTAGTTTTTATTTCTCCGAAATCAAAACAAATCCTCCACTAAGGACCCAAATATTGAGGCTCTCAATTTCTACTTCAATTCCTGATTCTGGGGTTGTATGTATGGAAATTTAAAGGTTAGGGTTTCGAAACATTGTTCCATATCTACATTTAAAAATCAAATTTTGATATTCCTGATACTGTTTATTTTATTGTGTAATTTTAGAACATTCTTATGTATGCGTATGGACTTTCTGAGTGGATGATATATAAATTGCATTGTTAAATTGGTGTTCTGAGATTTTTTTCAGTTTCTTTTCTTCTACCTATGTGTGATAATATATTCATAAACTGAGAGGCACTTTTGGTTCTTGTTTATGAGAGTGTGGTTACAGTTAGTTTTTTCTTCTGTTTACTGTATGCATATGGATTCAATTTGCGAGCTTCTTAATTCTATTTTATTTTTTACTTTGGCCCTTGTTCTTTTTATGGGAGTTACTATTACATGCATCCCCTAAAGTCATTAATCAATTATTTTATTTTATCACTGTATGTGTCTGGAGCTTTTGGTTATTCGTCATCTTCCAGAAGCTAGAAAAATTACAATTTCGGGTTCACTCTTTTTGTGCCTTGTTTAAGATTATAGTTTACTTTTACCCAAATTATGAGTGCTTATCTTATTCTCATATGTTGATTAGTAAGGCTACATTTGATAGTAGAAAAATTGAAAGCAAGGATTTTGGTGAATTGCTGTCCTTGGCTTGGTTGCAGTTTCTCATGGTTGGAATTTGTGAACTGTCCCACAATTGAAATGATAGTGCTTCAAGTTTAGAGTTATATAGTCTATGAGTTTCCTACGCTGGTGCAACCAAATTATGAAAATATTAGAAAAAAGAAATATGAAAATAATTTTCCTTGCTCAGGAATTTTCCGTGCAAGATCATATGCTATGATAATTTTTTGTGCAAAATTGTTCCTGAGTTTGTGCTCGTCATGCTAACATTTAAGTTGTAAAGCTCCAATTTTTCAGTGTTTCTTCCTGCTTTGAACATTTCTCCGTGTGCCGTAATTTATATTTTAAGTTGGCATTGAACTTTAACGTTATAAACTTCTTTGTCGTTTAGGATGTAGTGCTGAAGCTATATTTTCTTTTGGCCTATTTTGTCCATTCTTTGGCTCTAGGAATATTAAACAAGTGGTATTCATTTTTCTCTGTTCCTTCTTTGGGGTTTGGTTTACAAATGTTATCCGCATTTCAGCTCTTTGGCCCATTCTTTGATTATTTGGTTTGGTAAATGGATTTGATGAGGCCTTAGCTAATAGGGAATAAATTATCTACTTTCTTGGACACGTGAATGAAACTTGGCATATAATAACTACATTCTGTTTTGTCTAGGAAATTTTCTCTATTTATATAAGGATTGTTCGTTGGAAAACTTTCCTTCTTGATGCTTACTGGAGTATTAACTTCAGAATTATCGTGTAACTTTTTCTATTTATCTTTAATTATTTAAATGAATGGTTTGCAAAGACTTGGGTAACTTTGTTCTGATTTTCCGTCAAGGTGTTTCCTTATGTTATTCATTTAGATTAATTTTTGGTCACATAAAATTTGTGATGATGTATTTGTTACAACCAATTACTGCTACGAAAGATATGATCACATACAGTCACTTTTAGGACATACCTGGTCATAGACAGTGGTAGATAACACGGACTTGGTTACAAACAATAATAGTTTATATAGACTTGTGTGAGACTGGAAGAGGAAGAGACAATATGGCTTCATCATGGCTGGGAGAAGTTTCGTGAGGACCACTCCATCAGTATGGCTACTGTTCACGAAAAATAATTGTTCATTTTAAATCACTGCAAGTATACGGTTCGTAAAAAGTAATAAAGTGAAATTGAGAATTCCAGATATCGTTCCCACGGAGATTGAATTCGTTTGATTCTAATTACCGAAACCTTAACCGAATCTATAGATTTTTTGAGATGATTATAAAGATTTGTGACTAAACAAAGATTATATATGCTACTTAACTAAATTTTATCAACTAACTAAATGCAATTAAAAGTTCAAATGCGAAGTAAATGTTTCTTATGAATAACAAACGAGTACTAGGATCACGAATCCCCTTACAATATTCGCCTTGGAATCTAGTTCTACAATATTGACAACATGCTTGACATTTTGAAAAATCAATGATCATAACCTATCCAACAATCTCTCTCGAGAATTGCTGGACCTATTTATGTAAACCACCCGACTATATCTCTATGACGAATGTAAATTCACAAGAATGCGTGTATTTTTGTGATCACTTAAAGATTTACACAAAGCATAGAGGTATATCTCTATCCCCTATCGGACCTTACGATGACTAATACATCATCAAGTCTATTCTCCTTCTCTCGAATGCATGA